GCCGATGCACACCTGATGTCAATAGTCGGCCTGCAAAATTTGGGCTACCGATATCCATCCTGAAAATTCCATACTTGTACTGAAAATACGGTGTGGCATCAAGCAGTAATAAAAAATGAAAGATAATAAATTGATCACAACTTCTCATTAGAAGTTCGGACAACGTCATCCTATAGGCAGTCACTAGTAAGCGCCAGGTAATAATTAGAGGGAAATGAAAACTATGTATTCATTGCCAGTGTCATGGGGAATGTGACACTAAATGCTTGTAGAGAGTGTAATTTCATACTAATTACTATTACATGGTGGCCAGGAAGAATTTACAAGACACCAAAGTGTTATCTCATTAAACAAATTTTAAAGTATAAAATATGGTTAAGACAAATGTTTAAAAATTCATTCACTGTAAATCAACAGGGAACTATCAAATGTTTATGAATGACAGTGAATAAAAATCCCTTAGGGAGAAAAAATTTACCCACCTTCTCAACGAAGTTTTAATATGAAGTCCATTAAAGTATAACTAGCCAGTTTTTATGATATCATAAGTGTAGATAAAACTGTAATGCTATAGAAAAACACACATCTATTATGAAAACAACAACAGCTTTTGTGATTTAATTTTATTATCGGACATGTATCCGATTATGTATCTGTGATTCCTGTCCTGCATGACATAACAGTTGTGCGTCAGTGGTATAGCGGTTAGGACGCTCATCGACCATGCACATGGTCCGGGGTTCGATCCCCGGCCACAGACGCACTCCTTTACCTCGCTAAGCCAGAAATAATGCTGGTAAAGAGGAAAGGTTGGGCATGAGACTAGCAACCCCATCCTGTGAAATAAACAATGCTACAGAAACTTCAAGCCACTAGCTTGAAGCCCTATGTTCCACTGGGGAATGTGGAGAAAAAAAGAACATAACAGTTAATGCAACACTCTTAAAAGGTCTTTTACACAAATTCTCCTGATTAATTTTGAACTGAACTTTCAAATGAAGGAAAAATGATTGACAAACACGTTAGCCCAGTAAATGAATACAAAGAATAAGACGATAAACATTTAACAGGAAGAAAGGAACTATAATCTGTCATTCTGTGAATAGTACTGTGGGGTTGTGATACAGACAATGTGTTCCAACGGAATATTATTCTCATATTCAATACTACTTTTTTTATTCCTTAACTTTCTCAGTGGAATATAGGGGGCTTCACGCTAGAGGCTTGAAGTTTCGGTAGCAGTGGTGATTTATTTTTACAGGATGGGGTTGCTAGCCTCATGCTCAGCCTTTCGTCTTTACTAGCTCTATTTCTGGCTTAGCGAGGTAAAGGAATGCGTCGGTGACCGGGGATCGAACCCCGGACCACCTGCGTGGTCGGCGAGAACTCTACCGCTGTATCTTAGCTTCATCAACTGAAAATATACCTTTACTTCCGTGTCTTGCCTTCTGCTGTTACAGTAATCTTTAAACAGCGACTAACATTTTAACTACGCGGATCAAAAAAGAAAATAATTTGAAATTTAGTGTCACATTTAGTCTGATTTCTATTAATTCCTAGTCAATCAAAAGTATTACAAGACCAGCTAACCCAAAGTCATACTGTTCACATGAGACATACACTTGTGTTAACCTGATTAAAACTAACTAACTGATAAATAACATCTCAAAATGACCATATGAATATAATTAAGAATTCTTAAATTTGCTTGATAATGACTGACGTCCGAATGTGTAGTACTCGATGAAATATCTTGTACTCAAATTTCACCTTACTCACTAGCTGTGAAGGAGACAACAAAAAGCAAACCAGGATGTCACTTGATCTTAGAAGGGATATTTGTAATTCAAGTTCATCATCATAAGTGTATTTATTTGAAATCATATGCGGCAACATTGTGCGTCGGTGGCATAGTGGTTAGGACTCTCGCCGACCATGCACATGGTCCGGGGTTCGATCCCCGGCCACGGACGCACTCCTTCACCTCGATAAGCCAGAAATAATGCTGGTGAAGAGGAAAGGTTGAGTATGAGGCTAGTAACCCCATCCTGTAAAATAAGCACTGCTACAGAAACTTCAAGCCACTAGCTTGAAGCCACTGGGGAACGTGAAGGAACAAAAAAATATGTGGTAACATTGGACTGATGCACTACTACTGATATCTAATGGGTGATAGTTGTAGGAGAAATGCAAATCAGCAACGTTGGTTTTTTTATGGAGTGTTGTTGTTGTTAACCTTACGGTCAATCTTCCCTCTTCAATGAATTTACTAGCTTGTAAGAGAGGTTTAAGAGTAATGGTGATGGCCAAGGATAGAACCTCGGAGCATATAACTAGTTGATGGTCACCCTACCATTGAAATACTGACATAAAGGTTCGTATAAATACTGCTAACATAAATTGTCAGTGGTAATAATGGAAGATGTGAAGTCAGTGCTACTATACGGATCAGAGGCTTGGTGCGTCATAAAGAGCACCTCAAACAAACTACAGACCTTCATTAACAGTCGTCTTCGCTCAATACTCAAGATCAGATGGCTGGCCAGAAAAGATCAACAACAGAGATCTCTGGCAATGAGCGAACCAACCAGGGACCGACTGTGCAAGAAATAAGCAGGATGAAATAGAGATGGATTGGCCATACTCTGAGGAAACAATCCATCAAGTGACATCACTAGACAAGCCATCGCTCGAGTGGAACCCGAAAGGGAAGCGGCGAGTTGGTCGTCAGTGAGAGGGTGGGTGACTTGGAGGAGGTCATGTGAATAAGAGAAAACGTGTGGGCAGACTTGGAGCCAAGTGAAGACTCTAGCAGAGAAGCGAACGCAATGAAGACGCACTGCTGAAGCCCTATGTTCCTCTAGGAATTAAGGAAATAATAATAATAATAATGGAAGTTGATTTAGTAACATCACTTATTCTAGCATAGTTTATAAATAAAAGTATTATTTCATCTATCTAACTGCTACTTCTTATATACACCTAACATTTAAATAAACAATATTGTATTGTATAAAAAAAGTATTTGCATATTAAGACATTTGCTCACACAGACAACCGTAAACACCTACACTATGTATATATATTTAAGGAGTACGCCCATTAAGCACTGTAAAAGTTGATTGTTCAGAAACTGTACATACGCGAAGACAGTAAGTAGACACTTCTCTTTTTTTTTTTCATTTTTACGCATAGACTAGACTGTGAGTTGAAACTAAGATAAAAATCAGAACTTAGTGAGTTGTTATATTAAGTTATATATTATAAGTTATATTATAGGAAATCATTTAAACAGTATCTATCACTAACTGTTGGAATATCTATCATCCTCGATTTTGATAGAAGTTGGGGGGGGGGGGAAGTAAGTCATTAGATGCCAACTAAATGAGTGGACAGTAAAGGAATCATCACCTGTGCTTCTGAAAATCTAACTAAGATCCAACTTCATTTGCGCTTATGAGTATGCATTGCTGAAGAATCTTAAGCTATGACGAAACAGGTATCCAGTACTAAGCATGACAACTAATTTAATTGAATTTTTGGATTTTCCCGTCGATTGATTGGACCGAAGTGCTCGGTCTCAGGTTGACATGTCGGCTTCTTGAGCAGATGCTTCGACGATGTCTGGGTATTTAATTAGTATTTAATTGGTGGATGGTGACTAGCAGTGGAATCCAGGATGCGCATTTCGTCCTATTTGGGACTCGTCATCTGGAACATCATCACTCACTGAGAAATGCAGGTACACCCAGTGACGAGTCCCAAATAGGACGAAATGCGCATCCTGGATTCCACTGCTAGTCACCATCCACCAATTAAATAACAACTAATAGTTTGAAATATCAAGTTACGGACATTTACAGTTACAGTAATACAAAGCTGATGATTTTATCATTATTATTTTATATGAAATAAAAACACTATTAAGCCTTTCTAATGGATACTTTCGCTTCTCTCTTACCATACAGAGAAGAAAAATCATGTTCTTTAAATAAATAAATAAAAAAGCAACCTTAGTGATATAAATTTGAAAATTTCATCCCCTCTAACCTGTTCTAGCCAGAGTATTTTTATTGGCTAGACTGTTCACTTTTCATACTTGTCCACTTCCTTCATCCCTTAACACAAGTAGAAGAGAGTAAACACATACATATTGACACACACACACACACAAAGATAGATACAGATTCACACACGAACGCATCACTAGAATACAAGTGAAGTTGTTACTAGTGTATGTGGAGAGGGAGAGAATAAGAGGAGGAGGAATAGGAAACAAAATTAAACCCAATTAGAAAAGCTGAACAAGTCAGTTGAATCGCACTGACGTCAGTCAATGCAACACTTTCTTCGTTTTCGCCTTTTGTTTTTTCAAGGGGAGTGAAATAAGGATGAGAAAGGAATAAGTGTTGAGTATTTTGAGTTAATCAACTCAAATCACGATCATATGAGGTTACACACCTAACTACCTACCCACCCATCCATCCATCTGCATTCACGCACGCACGCACACATACACACACTAACGGACATACGTATACACAAGTGGAATATGTAGGCTAACGAAGAATACAACTTGCACCAATCGAACTTATGCGCTAACAGAGTGGGGGAACATTTTCTGTTCTCTGTTCTTTTCTCTCTTTTTTTTGTTTTGTTTTTGTTTTGATTAGACACATATAAGTATCCTTTGATTGTTTATTTTGTTAATTATATGCGAATCATCTTCATGTTAAAGAGGAGGATCCGTTTCACTTGTTGACTAAGTTTGAACACACAACACCTTGGAAACATTAACACACTGTAAAAATAAAACTAATCGTGTTTGATTACTACCACAACTACTACTACTACTACAATAATTATTTGGAATATAAATCGTGTAACTTCCAGTGAACTGATACACCGCATAAGCAAGAAACTCCTCGATAATTTCCAGTAAGTCGACTTTTAAAGAGTTTTTGGTTTAAATGTATGTATGTTTTAAAAAAAAGAAGTTTATGATAAGTGATGAAAAAGGGGAAATGGCATCATATTTGAGTGGAATATATTTATGTATGTATTTGATTCTAGCGTTAAATGTTCAATTGAAATAAATCGAAGTACCCGTAATAATTTTTACAAATGTCTACTTCTCACTCGGTGCTCAATTATTTTGCTACTATCCGGTCAAAAATTGATCACAGTTCATATGAATACTCGTAATATTTGATTCAAATACGAAATATTCACGGTTTAAACTGAGTGCGTTGGTTTGCTTAGCGGTAGAATGCTTACTTAACCTCCAACAAGTAGCGCTGTATGACGGTCTGCCATAGTGAAGGACATCTGTATCTTATGATAAGCATGATCACATTGAATCGCTTAAGTTCATGTAACAATCCAATTTAAAACTCTTTCCAAAAATTTCATTACATTTTAATGGAGTTGCCAGTGTGTATTACTCAAGAGTACTAAACTAGGATAGAAAATGTTTATTTTCTTAACACTTTGACTATCAGTTACCGCTGAAATCTGTCTTGTAAAAAGCATCAAATGCCATCTTTTTAAATGATTCTGCAAATATTTGTTTCGTCAGTGTGTTACTAACAAACGATAAGCTTTTCAAGAGTTTCAAGGATTGATATTAGTTAGAGAACCAACAGCTGAAAACCAGAGAGTAGTGAACAGCTGTTTCATCCTACTCTGGGAATCATCGTCACTACGCATCCACTAGACTTTGAACCCAGTACCTTCCGGTTACAAGGCCACCTCATAGACTATTCAGTTGATGACACTGGTTGGTGCCAGTCGCGCTAAAATCATGCATTGGTAGATGGTATAATTCATGGACCATTGAGTCAGTGAGTCCCAGTGATTGAATGGTCTACGAGATTGCTTTGTAACCGAGAGGTCCTAGGTTTGAGACCCAGGGGGGGTGAGTACTATCGATGAGGAGAACTTGGGCATTGCATATTCCATATTAAATGAGTTTATTTCAAATGTCATGTCATCCAGTTATTAATGCTATATCACTTTGTGATATTTGAAATAAATTTATCATATATATGGAAGGTGTAAGAATAGTCAACTTATCCAGTCGTTTAAAAAAAATCTTTGTTATGGATAAATTCTACTTACTTCCATTTTCTTTTCTTTTTTTATTGGTAATACTTTAAAGCCAGTTTTAATTATAAGATAAAATCTCATTTAGAAAGAAATAAAACAATATTAGGGTATTTAGCCTTTCTTTTATACTTTTAAACATACTAACATTTAGAATTACTGATAGCCTTTATATTTTGAATTTTCAGCAATTAGAATATACATATCATCAGATCCTAAGCCAGTCTCTAATTTGTAAAGGCACCAAGTTAGTCAACTGAAGGCTGTTGGTAAAATCTCTGATGTGTTTATTATATGTAGGTATGAGAGAAGAGTTCATATGTCAGACGAAACAATTAAACTGTGCTCCTTCCTTTTTCAGTTATTCTTTAACTTTTCACAAAACTTACGAAAAATTAGCCATTGTATAAATCATTGAGTTTTCACTGAATAGTTAGTTATATTCGAACAGAGTTAACTGCATAATTCTTATCTAATGAACTGTCTCTCTCTCTCCCTCACTGTTATGACTAACTATCATACACTCATCATTCTATCTTGACTTGACAGGATAAATTATGTATTTCACTACAGTTTATTATCATCTACCTGGCTAAGAGCTTACATTTTCAAGTTTTGACCACGGATTAATATCAGTTAGAAAACCACTGGAGACCAAAGAGTATTTGACAGCTATTTCGTGCTAGTCTGGGACTCACCCACCCCCCGGGTCTCAAACCTAGGACCTCTCGGTTACAAAGCAGTCTTGTAGATCATTCAATCACTGGGACTCACTGACTCAATGGTCCAGCAATTATACCATCTAACAATGCATGATTTTAGCACGACTGGCATCAACCAGTGTCATCGACTGAATAGCCTATGAGCTTGCCTTGTAACCGGAAGTCTAATAGATGCGTTGTGACGATGATTCCCAGACTAGAATGAAACAGCTGTTCAGTACTCCCTGTTTTTCAGCGGTTGGTTCTCTAACTGATATCAATCCTTGATCAAAACTTAAAATAAGTCATATCCCTACATGCAAACTCTTGAAAAGCTTATCGTTTGTTAGTATCACACTGACGAAGCAAATATTTGCAGAATCATTTAAACACAAGTGTTTATTTTCTATCCTAATTTAGTAGATTTTGAGTAATACACGCTCTTAAATGCACTAAAGATGTAATGAAATTTTTGTGTGTGTGGTGAATGTGAAACAGCATGACGGAAAATCTTAATCATTCTTGTAGAATCAAATTGAGTGTGACATCTGTTTGTCTAAAAAGGAAAGAGTTTTAAATTGGATTATTAGCTGAACTTAAGCGATTCAATGTGATCATGCATATCATAAGATGCAGATGTCCTTCACTATGGTAGACTGTCATACGGCCCTACTTGCTGAAGGCTATTTAAGCGTAACTGACAAACTATTATCATGTCAGTAGGAAAGTAATCACAACATTGTTGGACTTATTTAACTAAAATTATGTAAATGTGGGCAGTAAATCCCGTCCGTATCACCATTCAGAAAATGATATTCATTTTAATAAAAGTGTTTTTTGTATTTCCCAATGAATGCAAAACAAAATGATACTGTTTTTACTGACGTTTCGCTATTTAATGCTGCTAATAGCTTTATCAAAGTATTATTAAACCGGAATTTACAAAATCTCAGCTTATATATGTAACAACTTAATCATTGTTTTTCATCATGGGGTCATTTTTGCGTTGTGAAGTTGACCTATCGGTAAAGATAATAAAGCCAGGTGTATATTGTTGGGTTTGATAAGTGTGTAAAATTATAAAAGCACTATGTGTTTACAAAGTGAACTTGCTTATAGTGTTGATTCTGTCATTTCATGGGGGAGGCGGGTGTTGTAACCAGGTAAAATTCTGTTTTAGTCCATCATTCCTATTCAGACAATTTGGATTCCACTTGATATGAAGTGCTTCTGATATTAGACGTTCTTTGTGATTTCTGAAATTTTTCTGGATTATTTCAGTATTGTCAAAATCAATTTTGTGGCCTGATTCTATAGCGTGTAGACCTATGGCTGATGAACTTTCAAGCTTTTCTAGTTCAACCGAGTAAAATAAAAGCGTCCGAAAATAATTAGTTTTTCGGAAAGTAGATCAGCGAAGAGTCTCTTTTCGGCAAATTCATTTTCTTAGCTGTACAATCGCAAATATAAATGTGTTATTTTGTATGTATGTATACATTAAGTTTGTCAAACAAAAATACAATTGATTATAGTTATTTTAACTAAACAGGTGAAGATTGGTAATTGGAGTTACGTAATACAAAATCAGTCAAGAAAATTAGGTGTTAGTGAAATTAAGGTAGTAACAGAGGTGATGAGTTGTCACAAACAGTTGTTAAAAAGAAGTTATGTAGTAATATGAATAGTTTGATGAGTGAGTTTTACTCAGGATGTACATAGGAACAAAGTAGATGATATGAAATTACGTAAGAGTTCTAAATGAATACAAGAATTATAAGCAATTAAAGAACAGGCAAAGAAACAAAATTAAGTCATCAAAATAAGAAAAATCAAATCAAAAAAGTTGTTACCAAGACAGTAGAGGTGGTTAAGTAATTCTCTTTTGTATGCACAGCTCCGGTTTTTCTATGTGAATGGCCAGAGCTTCAGTGATACAAAGAAGGCGAAACCGTATTGCCTTTGATAGGCTGTTCTTGACTCTGTAGATCACTTTGAAGGAGGCGTTTGTTGAAGTGGAATGATCAGTGTTAACCAGGTGTTCAATTATCGCACTCCTTATTGCACCACTATTGCCTTTTTGCAACCATGCTGGGTAGTGTTCTTGAATCCTCTTGTATTTTTGTTTGACAAACTTAATGTACACATACATACAAAACAACACATATATATTTGCGATTTTACAGCTAAAAAAATGAATTCGCCGAAAAGAGACTCTTCGCTGATCTACGTGTTTTGTTTTCATTAATTCGCAAAGTAAACAGCTCTTAGTAGCGTTTCACTCTAGTGTTACTTGGAAGCTGGATAGCCTCATATTTGGAAATATTAAAGCTTTAAATGATACTTAATGTTATAAGGATAAAACTTGGTCACTGTGGTAGAGTATAATTCCGTTATGCATAAAATTTTATTTTGATAAAACTACACACTGGAACCGGTGGACCCAATTAGACAAAATAATATAATTAATAAAATACCTTGCAATGACTGTGAGCTAGGTCAACTACATAGGTCAAACTAGTAGATCAGGAGTAGTGAGATTATCAGGACAAAAGAATTTAGCTAAGGTAAGTGGGTGACCCCGTGAAGATAAGTAATTTAGAAAAAAGCTCAGCAATCGCACTACATGCATTAACACACAACCACACAATAAGATGGGAGAGGGTCAAAATTCTAAAAAGTAATCTAGGTAGGTGGAGATGGAGAGAGGTTGATTACTAATCTTAGTTCATTGAGTCCACATCCAATACATGCAATAGAAATGACTCAACGCAAATACCAGATAAATGGAAGATATTATTACCAGCAGTCAAATCAGAGGGCGATAATAAATAATCTTAAAATGTATTCAATTCACATTCTAACGGGTCATTTATTGTACTATAAAAACACCTTATTTCCTATCTGATTGGATTTTATTGATAACACTAATATTATTTCCGAATGTACTTTGTCTTATAATGATTTTATCAAAATGTCTAATCAGTTTTACTCATGTATATAAATGAAGCAAGAAAGTTGTGTGAGTGGCTTGATATAATTATCAGCGGACATGATTTGTGCTCGAAATGCGGTCATCAGTAAATATATCACTTACTGTATAACACTGTGTAATTTTATTAAAATTTTAATCCATAATGGAGTGATACTTATTGTAAATTGGCTAGATGGTTAGATGGAAATGAATGGCATCAGAGAGAGACAGTGATGTATATTTGGACTTAAAACTAGTTAGTGCAGTGTGTCTACTGCTTTGTTTGATGTGTACTCACTTCCATCAGTCAAGCGGTGGTGTGCGTATATCAGATCTAAGCACACTGAACTATTCAGATTTCATTGTCATAAAATAAACACTTGTTGTATGAAAAGAAAGTCTTCTGGTATTAATCTTAAAAATTATATATATATATATATATATAGAAATGAGTACTTGTTGAATACACTATGGAGGTACCAAAATAAAAATGGTAACATGTAAAATATGTTTTAGTTGTACAAAGGTCCAGTCAATCTAAAAGTCTTTTGATCAGTGTGAACGAAGCAAAACAAAAACAAAAAAAAGATTTTCATCATGAGCTGACATTAGTTTGAGAACCAGTGGAAAACCTGGGAGCACTGGGGAGCTGTTTCGTCCTAGTTTGTGACTCTTCATCAGTAAGCACCCACTGGGATTGGAACCCAGGACCTTCTGGTTACAAATCCCTACAAACCAACACTTGAATATCAACGAGATGCTCACTAGCGACTTGCCCTATTCAGGTAGGTAGTTACCTGGGGTTCTAGTGAGAAGTCATGACCAGTAAGTTGCATCAGATCGGGTGTGAGGACAAATACTCGTCGAAGACATTGACTAGCGGTCGCGCTATGTCGTGAATTGGCAGAAGTTAGAATTCATGGGCCATTGGATCGGGTCCCAGTGGTTTAATGGTATACGAGCTCGCCTTGTAACCAGAAGGTGCTGGGTTTGAATCCCGGGGGTGCGTACTGATGAAGAGTCCCGAACTAGGACGAAGGAAACAGCTGTCCAGTACTCCGTGCAGGTTTTCCAATGGTTCTCTAACTAATGTCAGCTCATGATGAAAATCCTGTAACCAATCAAATCCCTACAAACCAACACTTGAAAAAAAAGATATTTGCAGGATACAAAAGAAAGAGTTCATCTCACTTGAAGACCTGCTAACAACCTTAACATTATACAAGTTAATTATAAATAAATGTAAACACAGAACATATTTTGGGATAATTTCACATAGAAAGGGCATTTCATAGTTGTTTTTTTAGAAGAGTTATGAAATAGGAGGTATGAGTAGAGAAATAGTTAATACTGAAATAACCAAATAACCAGAGTATATTCATATATATAATATGAAAAAAAATTGAGCCCAGTTTAATCTTACAAGTTTCTTCACTCTCATTTTTTCTCAATCTAAATTTATTTTCAAGAATTGATTTGTAAGGATTAGATTTGTTTTTTTGTTTTTTCGAGTTTCACCACAAATTGATATCACTTTGACTGATATCGAAAAAAGCAAACAAATCTAATCCTTATAAATCAACTCTTGAAAATTATTCTGATGCTCGCTAGTGAGTGACTGGCTAAAGGACGGAGTTTCCTGCAGTGAGTTCTAGTGAGAAGTCGTGACCAGTGAGGTTCATCAAATCGGTAGTGAGGATACAGTTCCTGTCGATGACATTGGTTGGTACCAGTCGCTCTAAAATCATGAATTGGTAGAAGTTAGAATCCACGGGTTGGCCATTGAGCCGGGTCGGGTTGGGTCCCAGTGTCTGAATGGTATACGAGCTTACCTTGTAACTGGAAGGTCCTGGGTTCGAACCCTAGTGATGAGTGCTTACTGCCGATGATTCCCAAACTAGGCCGACAGGAACAGCTGTCCAGTACTCCCTGATATTTTTCAACAGTTCTCTAACTGTGATATCAATCCGTGGCCAAGCTCGAAAAAGAACAAAATTTATTTTCCACTAATTTTGAAGTAATTATTTAGATTTTTCGGAATAATTTGTAATTTTGATTATAGCTTGATTCCACAAAGCATTTTAGTACAAGTAGGGAATTTCCAGCATGTGAAATCGGTAGCCCAAATTTTACAGGCCGACCATTGATATCAGGTGTGCATTGGCAGGGGATCGAACCCTGGGCCATGTGCATAGTAGGCGAGAGTCCTAACCGTTGTGCCACCTACTCACACTGTTAAATATCAGATATCTTTAGTGTCTACCCCTATCGTTGTTGTTGTTGTTGTCGTTGGGGATGTTGTTAACATTTTTGAGTAAACGTAGTTATTAAATCAAAAGTTTTTGTTTTCACACTGTGTTTATGGTCACACACTGACATTCCTTTTGATAACATTTAGCTGTTTTTTTTTTCATTTTGAGCACAAGAAACAATTACACTTATCAACCATTTTAGATATAATAAGTACCTCCCCACCATTTCAGTATCCTTTTCTATCGTATTATTTGCAAATCTCTCTACTCTATATATAAACAAACACATGTAAACAATTGAAAATAGTCTCTCTTTCTTTTTTTTACTATTTATAATGATGGATTGTATGCTGAAAAGAAAAATAAAACTATGCGTAATTTATTTTACTGCTTCTTTTTTAAAGAATGTACTTATTGTCTAAATTGCTTAAAAAACTAATCAAATCATCAAGCGTCATGATGACTACATCTCATTTTATTGATTGAAGCAATGAAAAATACTTTGTAATCCATGAATGTATATATTAGTTGTGTCTGTGTGCATTACAATCTATCCCTCTTATGATCACTTGTTTTGCTTTCAATACTGTATTTCAATGACACTTGACACCTACTGATGACGCCATTATTAGTACTAGTAATCATAACAGTAATAATAATAATAATAATGATAGTAATAGTAGTTGTAGTAATGTTGCTTGTAACAGTAAAAAAAACAGTAACAGTAAAGTTCTGTAGCTAAGATGAAAAACAGCACTCTATACTGTCATCTACTTGCTCTCTGCATTTAACTCAAATGTATCTGGTGGGTAGGATTTGTTATTATTATTATTATTATTATTCAGTAATTATTTAGTAATAATTCATTATTATTATTATTATTGTCACTCTCGCTTTCATGATGATGTTTACATGTGTTGATTTATAAGTACATATACACCTTGAAGAAGAAGAAGAAAGAAAAAACACATAGAGACAAACATAAGCACATCAAGTGTTCAGCTACACACTAGTCACTGGCAGACACAATTATGCACGCACGCACTAACACACACAAACATATACACATACGTGTAAATAAGTACGCATTCACATGTCTATATATTATACTTTTAGAAAACTAAAGTAACACGTAAGATATATATATATATACATGGCAAAAGAAAGGCTTTCGGTTAGTTGCTAAAGTGAACAAAGCAGTGTCAAGTCAACTGCTGTTTGGTAACCACACACGCACATACATACATACACACATACATACATACACAAATATATAATTTAGCCAGCTATTGGGGTGCATTTATTTCACCATCATCGCCAACATCATCATCATCAGCAGAACAAGGCTACTTAACTAAGAGTTCAAGGAATATCACCGTCAATTTTAACTTTATTGTCATTTTAGACGGTCAACATGTAAGTTAGACAGTTCTGTGTAATTATGGTCAATAAAAAGGTTAATTAGTCAATATTATTATTTACCATGATTTCATAAAATTGTAATAGTATTTTTTCTTTCCTCTCAAGTGGATGATTTTTAATGTAGTGTTATTGTTCTTAATGTGTCCAATGGTCTAAATGAGAAGCCTTTAATTGTCTTTGTAGACAATTATCTTCATAGAAGAATTTATACTGAAGCTTCCCAGTTAAACGATCCAGCTATCTGAACACAAACACAACAAAATATTTTGATATTCAAGTATTGGTTTGTAGGGATTTAATTGATTGGTTACAGGATTTCATCATGAGCTGACAATGGTTACAGAACCACTGGAAAACCTGCACGGAGTGCTGGACAGCTGTTTCGTCCTAGTTAGGGTCTCTTCACAGTACACACCCACCGGGGTTCTAGACAATAACACTGTCAAGTATCCCTTAGATAAGAAAAGTTTAAGGCATCTCAATACTAGAAATTCCTTCACAGAATTTGTAAAAAGAACTGGTATTTTAAAGCATAGTTGCAATTACATACGATTTTTACATCTAAGAATAAACACGATATTTGTTCAGTAATCCGCGTTCTATGTATTCAGTAAAACATCAGGATAGTAGTGATAGGAAATTTTTAATTAAATCTCCCAATAACTTGTTCCAAAATTGAAGTACTCTATTTTGTTTAAATTAACCAGTATGATGAAGTAAATAATGTCTGATTTTGTATAACTGGCACCTGGTACGAGCGTTTCCATGATGCACTGAAGTAAACTTTGAGTTTATTCTATGGTTGGTAGTTACCAATGAAATTCAGAACGAGTAGGCTGGTCGGCTGCTGGCTGTAACAACATTCCTAGTGAATGGTGGCGTTTCCCCTGAAAACTGAAAACCAGCAGATGTATCCAACCGGTGATTCTTAAAAAAACAATACCTGCCTCTTGGCCACCAAAAGGCAAATAGAAACTTATTCTATGTGATGATAAGATATTTCATTACCTGAAAACAGATCAAAGTTATAGTATAGTATGGGAGATAGGTAACAAATGTACATAGTATGATTTCGAAGGGAAGATTTGTAGAAATTTTCTAGAAAAGTAAGACAGTTGAAGAGTACGGCGCATAAAAAACAGCTAAAATGGATGTTTATTCATGCATAATAGATGGGACAGCTCAAGATGTTGGATGGGCTGGAACTTCTCGCATTTCGACTGCACATTTGTCTTCTTTTGATTATTCTCTAAATTCAAATCACTAGTATTACTGCATACTTTTCGCTTAGTTCGCCTGTTTCACCTACTACACCTTGAGAACATGTCGCTGTTATACTTCTAAGCTTTGATCGATTGTCATACATAAAATACACTAAATTTAACTATAAATCATCGATATTTTTCCTAGTGCATCTCAATAAAGTTGTAAATACTTTTAAGCAAGGTCTCAACGATTGTTTTTTTTCCTTCACGTTACCCAGTGGAACATAGGGCTTCAAGCTAGTGGCTTTAAGTTTCGTTAGCAGCGTTTATTTTACAGGATGGGGTTGCTAGCCTCATGCCCAACCTCCCCTCTTCACCAGCATTATTTCTGGCTTAGTGAGGTAAAGGAGTGCGTCGACCGGGGATAGAGCCCCGGACCACGTGCATGGTCGGCGAGCGTCCTAACCGCTATGCCACCGACGCACCTGGATTGTTACAATTTTCATATTCATAAAAGTCTAGTTTATATTTGTTACACTTTCGACATAAATCTAAGCGTTATTCATAGTGACTTGATTTCATTTCTATCTGGGAATCCTTGTTGTTGAGGGCTCAGATTTACTTTTTACAAGTTTGACCAGTGAGATCTAAAGACGACAAAGTTCATGCCTGAAATTCCATCGATAAACAATTAACACGTTCACGTCAATTCGAATGCTAAAACGTACAACACTTACAACTATCTTGACACACAATCCCTTATAAATCCGACTATAACTCGTTAAAGTGTGTTGTTATCTTGTTGAAACATAAGAATATATATGTGAAACAAGATCTATCTGTATTACATTTTACAACTTATCATCATTATGCATCATCTTAGGATGTACTGGCCTTGAGAAATCGATAAAATGAGGAAAACTCAATTTGTTTATTTTGTTATTTTTATTGGTAGTAGGTTAAGTGTAAAACTGACGGTGTGAGGATATCTCCACACTTGTTATTATATTCCTCTGCTGGACACTTTTCTTGTCATACTTTTCCCGCGTTAATTAATTCATTTCACTCTTAGTTAAACTGTGTCATTGGTTCATCAAACTGTCTATCTGACAAACTTCTACAAAGTGAAACGGAGTTATGTAGGGGATATATAACATTTAAAGGTTAATATTATTCTGAAGACGGCCATAATGGAATAATTAATAATAATAATGATAATGATAATAATAGCACAGGGTTGATCATGAGCTGACGTCATTTAGAGAACCATTGAAAATTAGGAAGTAGAGAACAGCTATTTCATCCTAGTTTGGGACTCTTCATCGGTATGCACCCACTGTGGTTACGAGGAGAGCTCGTAGTCCACTCAACCATTAGGAACGGACCGAAAGGTCCATGAATTCCACCTTCTGATAATTCATATAAGTATAAAACATGGGCACTGTGGTATAGTATAACTCCATTATGGATAAGATTTTATTTTGATAAATCACACAGTGTTATACAGTAATATTAATTGATGACGTTTCGAGCACAAACTGTTGCTCTTAATCATATCAAGTCAATCAATCAATCCTGTGGCTAATTAAATCCCTGCAAACCAACACTTGAATATGAATCAACTCATAAAGTTTTTCCCGAAAAATGCATTTATACCTAATACAGAATTTTTAGTGAGTTCCATTGCAAGGTATTTACCCTTTGTGTAGAATCTTCAAATAATAATTGGCAGAAGTTAGAATTCATGGGCCACTGGATCGGTTCCCAGTGGCTGCTGAATGGTATACGAGCTTGCCTTGTAACCAGAAGGTCCTGGGTTCGAACCCAAGTGTGTGCGCACTGATGAGGAGTTACAAACTAGGCTGACGAAATGGCTGTCCAGTACTCCGTGCAGGTTTTCCAATGGTTCTCTAACTGATGTCAGCTTATGATGAAATCCTCCATCCAATCAAACAAAATCCCTACAAACTAATACTTGAAAATAATATAATAATCGATAATACATCACCTAAAACAATAGTGTTCCATCCGAAGTGTGCTTCAATGCTACTCCACAATGTTTTCCCTTGATTTTCTTCGAAAAACTCCCAGCGGTAGATAGAAAGTGGTTTGAAATGGTGCACAAGCATAGACTGTGACTCACTGTGGTAATTAGAAGATTAGAACAATTTGAAGTGGAGTAAAAACGATGCATTTTGATGAATACAAAGTTTAGTTGGCCCAATGATTTAATTAAGCCGCCAATTCTTGATTTTTCCTTTATGAACACTAAACTCGATATACTAGAATATCATCTAGTTATACATTTTATCGAGAATTTAGTAAATATCATCCATCTGCTTTTATGTCAGTTAATGCAGTACATTTATAACCTTAGAAATTATTTAACCCGGTTATAATCCAGTACTTACCATATTTTTATCACGACCAGAACTTCATAGAACTACGTTTACGTATATCAGCACTTGCTTTTGACTTTAGGTACTGAAAAGATTACAGTTTCCAAGTAAAAACTGGGCGGATTCGATCTGTTCATCTGTATCATGATATGAGTTGATTATGATGATAACATAGAAGTAGGTGCATGAGTGTTAGGCGAAATTCATCTCATATTCTTTGGTCTTAAAATATTTGTATAGGTAATTCACGTTTCACTTGGTATTAGTTTCAAGGTTGTTCTCATCATGAACCGACATCATTTAGGGGAACAATAAAAACCGGGGAGCACTAGACACTTGTTTCGTCTTACTTTTGAACTCTTCAGAGTTGTTGTTTCAATATTAATTAAATCAATGGATGACTTCAAAATCCACAAAATTTCAAGTGTTTATTTTCCAATAAGTTTCCCTAATTTTCATCTTTATTCATAAATCGGATATAAATAGTTGAGAAAAGCAACACCTTTTTTTAACGTCCAAAATCTGTTTATAATGACGACATGTTTAAACTTGGTAAAGTAATATACTTACTACTCTATGAAAAACTTAAAAAAAATACATAAATGTACTTCTGAAATCTAATCCTTTAATAATGGAAGTATCATGAAAATTGTCTTCCCCGGAATTTTGTTTTCATACACTCACTGACTCTACATGAAGACATATTAAATAAATATTTGGAAAAATGTTGTATGGAAATGATTCAAGGATATGAAAAAAGTATTCCAAAGGAGATTTCTTCACGAATTAACATCATCAGTCCTGCGCGTATGTAAAGACATTTTACCTTAACTTACGCTTTCCATGCATCCCATTAATCGGTAGAACTGCGGCATGTCTCAATTGACTGAGTTTGTTAATTGAGTAACACTCTTTCAGAATTTTAATTAACTCAAGAACAATTTTCAAGTATTGGTTTTGTAGGGAATTTTGTATGATTGACCGGGAGATTTCATCATGAGCTGATATCAGTTAGAGAACCATTAGAAAACCTGCACGGAGTACTAGACAGCTGTTTCGTCAGCCTAGTTTGGGACTCTTCATCAGTACGCACTGACTGGGATTTGAACTCAGGAACATTTTTGATAAGAAAGCCTCTCAAGATTGTCCTTTATTCAATTATAGATTTAATTTATTTGTGATTTGTAATGAATGTGGTAAATAGTTCATAAGTTATGTCCATTATACTTTGTTGTTGTACAGGACTGTAAATGGTGGTTACTTATTCCTTCAATAATCATTTTTTTTGTAAAGTGCTTGGAAAAAATAACAGAAACACGTGTCACTTCAGAGGACATCTGGATAAGTATATTGTTCTAGAGGTACATTCTAGCCAGGTTAGACGAACTCACGGCCCAATATCACTCCATCATAATATATATATATATATATATGTACCTTAGATGTTTGTCAAATTTAAGGAGTGTGTGTTCGACTTGTGTTTTATGACCATAACTCGAAAAGTGGTTTTATTATCTGTAACTTTGACGATTTCATTCTCTTAAGTTTTCTATTTTGAAAAGGAATTAAATTTTTTTTCTTTTCATAAAGTCATTTGATTCAACTTCTAAATGAATTTATAAGGAAAACAGATAAAACCGGACAGAGTTTATACATCCTTCTTCTAATGGCTACTATTTTGATTCCCATAAATCAGTTGGTCACCAGTAGGGAAATGAAGATGTTGAAAATGTAAAATTTTAAAAGAAAAGAAAAGACACCAGCACTAACAACAAAACAGTGATTAAATTATTTGAAACATAAATATGTCATGTCGACAATACTTGTATAATAAGTATCTATGGTTGTACAATGGGATATGATAATTGTTTTAATAAAGACTGAATCTTCGATGGTAGAATGTTAGATCTAATTAGAAATAAATTGCCTATTTATACGAGCTAAACTTATCAATAAAAATTTGTTGATTTCGAAAAGAATTTAGTTAATAAATCGTTTTCAAGAATTAGTTTGTAGACCAAGGATTGATATCAGATAGAGAACCATTGAAAACCATCACAGAATACTGGACAGCTGTTTCTGTGTAGTTTGGGAATCATTGGCAGTACGTACCCACCACAGGGGGTTCGAACCGAGGACCCTCCGGTTACAAGGCAAGCTTGTATATCATTCAGCCACTGCGACCCGACCCGACCCAACCCGCCTCAATGTAGTCTAGCATCTAGATGATGTAGCTCAGTTGTTTTCGTACTGAACTGCCTCGAATCTCAGCGTTACTTAAAATTTCAAAACACCTTAACCCATTACATTTGGATCTATTTATTTTTGAGGATATTGTAGGAGAAATGATATTTCATTACAATACTTCAACGTATATTTGGAACATTTTTCGAGGAACACGCTTAGAAGACCACCGAATGACATCGCATGTTAGGCTGTTGCTTGAGTGGAACCCGAATAGGAAACGACGAGTGGGTGGTGTGTCCGAAGATGACATGGTCAAGCTCGCATACCATTCAGCCACTGGGACCCGACCCGACCTGACTTAACGGTTAACTCGTGGATTCTAACTTCTACCAATTCGTGATTTTAGCACGACTGACACCAACCATTGTCATCTGCGGGAACTAAGAGGAAGGCAGATGTTTCGTGTTTACTTTGTAAATGTAAGCGAGACTTCATTGACATACAATGACAGTTATGAGGGATAACTTGAAGAAAGTAACTTTCATTGGTTGAAGCTGAATGTTGCTGTTAAATTCTGACTAAATATTACCTTGGCATTAATGTAAAAATACTGAAGAAATGACTTGGTTTCCGAGTGAATTATCAAAATATGAATAAGAAAGTGTAAATCTCATTATGTTAAATATTGCATTGATTGTTTGAAAGAATCATTTCATCACTGAGCAGTAGTGGTTAACTATCAATTCATTATCTTTGTAGTATAACAAGATGTGGGACGATAGCTATGAACCAAGTTTCTACTCATGCAATTTTGTTTTCTATCTTGATTGCCATTCATGCCTAAATAGGTCACAAATTTTTACTCTTGCAAATAAAGTCGTTATGAATTTTCATATAGAATTGTGTAATTTGTAAATAATGAATTCGATTCTATGTACAACCATTTGACTGAACTCCATTGCAAACAGGTGTGACCATCATCAAATGTTGAATTCCATTCGACTTGACCAGGAAGCAATACCCGTTGAAATGACCGATTTCCAACTACTTGTATTAATTAATAATACATACTATCAGATTTTTATGCGTCGTTGGCACAGTGGTAGGATCCTCGGCCACCGACGCACTCCTTTACCTCTCTAAGCCAGTCATAACACTGGTAAAGAGGGAAGGTTGGATATGAGGCTAGCAATCCCACCACGTAATAGTAAACACCACTGCTACTGAAACTTTAAGCCTCTAGCTTGAAGCTCCTTAAGTTCCACTGGGAACGTAATGGAATAAAAAAAACAATAAAGGTGATCTAAACACATGCTGTTTACATAACCTACATGCCCTAACATACAGACACTTTCATACACTTTCAAACTAGACATGCTTCTAGAAAAAAAAACGAACTCTGTCCTATGAATATATCAGAAACTGATAAGGTTAACTACAATCCTACTCATGCCAGTTAATAGTGTTCATTATCCTGACAATTTAAAGATAAATTCACCACTGATTTATCAGAGTAAATAACTGAAGGAGAATGAACAATCTAACCGCGTAATATTAAAGCAATCGTAATCTCTGTAGAAGTAAATAGATTATCTACAAGATGATCTAGTTTACAAGAGCTCACATAGATTTCGTTAGACAACAACACCCCAAGTTGTTTTTGGTTACTCTCTTACTCATTCAGTAGTAGTATATATAGTATATTTCTCCTATTCACCCTAATTAACGTTAAATATTCATCATATTGAATTTATTTATTTAATTCCTTTTACATTTCGAATGGAACATAGGGCTTAAAGCTTCAGCTTTTAAGTTTCACTAGCAGTGACGCTTTTGCAGGATGAGTTTGCTAGCCCCACGCTCAACCTTCCCTCTTTGTCGAGGTTAAAACCGACTAAGTGAGGTGAAGGCGAGCATCCTACTGCTACTGTAACAACAGAAGACAAGGGCCAAGCAACAGAACGTTTATTACGGAAAATCAACACGTATTTATAGATTTTGATGTACATTATTGTAGGTTTATGTTAGTAGAAAATACAGTCTGTTGATTGGTTGTTTCTCACAGAAAGTTAACCTTGCATCTCTTGTGGCTGTATCAGTTCATCTATATGTTAACTGTATCCGCCTGTCCATCTTGACCCTGACCTCAATTACTGTCAACCAATTTGGCTAGCAACCATCTCTCACCACACTACAAATCATGCTGATTGAATTACAGTTTTTAGCCTGTGGATTTAACTTTGAATAAAAAAATTGTCTGTTAAAACAAATTTTTTTAAACAATTATTCATACTTTAAAATACACAGAAGTTGACATCATCACTTTGAGTTCAAGTTAGGTAAAAATGTTGAATCTCATACAACAACAACAAAAAAAAAGACACAATTAAGACAAAATGTCGACAGTTCCTTTGATTATACTTATATGTGTATGTAGATATAGTTAATATGGACTTTGTATTGGACTTAAAATACACTTTTGTTGATGTTATCAAATAATAGTAATAATAATAATAATCATTTATTATTGAATAACCAAACTAACCAAATTATATTTGTTTGTCTATGCACTTTACAGGTGTATATTTTGATTCGTGATTTATCTCAAGAGCCTTATCAACGTCATCAATACAATTATATTGCATAGATATATTTCAATCAAATGTCTACAGATACATGGATGTCTTCACATCGTGAAATTAATCAGCATACTCCTCAAGTACATCCATCATCATCATCAACATCATCATCGACATCATCTTCGTCATCATCATCATTAATCGACATGAATTTCATACAGAATATATCCGATGCATTTAATAAATTCTATTCTCCTACAGAAATGAATTCCTTCGCTTCTCCTGATTTATCTATATATGCTAATTATTTAAATAGAAAGTTATTTAGTAATTGTTTCAATGAACAACAACCTCAGCAACAACCTCAACAACAACAACAATTAAATGATAATAATTCACAACACTTTCAAGATTTATTTCATAAACTTTGTAAATCTCTACCACAATTTGATGTAATGCAAAAATCTTTATCAGTATTACCTCAGACAAGTGAAACATCTCCAGAGAAAACTGCACATGATTTAACAATGAATCGTGGAAATTGTGACTTGAATATATCAGATTTTAATTGTAGTAATACAACTTTAGGCACTACTACTACTACGCTGCCTAGTCCATCTGAAAAGTCTAGCCCATACAATTCTAGTCTATGCAATCAATCACAGCATAATTCAACAGAGATGAACACGCATCAGACAGATAATCAACAACAAATGAAAGAAGACTCTCAAATAGAAGAAAGTAGAGAGTTTAAAAGTAAATTATTTTCATATAAACAAGATAATGACGACGACAGGCAACAATATCAGTGTATCAGTAATGAAACAATGAGTACACTGCATTTCCCATCTTCACCAAACACAAACACTATGCTAGATAAAATGGATATATCTTTAAATAAGGCTAAAAAGGGTGAAGTATCACTGAACAATTTACATTGCATTGATGATAGTATAGGACAAAATTATAAGTTGAACACAGATAAATTAACACAATATAATCAGTGTCACTATCATAATAATAATAATAAATGTCGTGACAGTAGTGAACAGTCCGCTGATGAATACCACGCTATTAATTTGTCCATGAAAGAAACAGATTTACTCAAAACACCATCTCCACCTCAACCTCAACCTGAAGTAAAAAATCACAGGAATGAGACAAATTATGAATCACTGTCTAATTCAATGCTTTATGAATACTACATTAAATTATTACAATTTAATTATTTCGAATGGTTAAAGTATCTGCTGTGTCAATCATCCCAAATATCAGGTAATCCAGGTAATATTTCAACTCCTATCCCTCAATTATCTCAGGACAATAATAAAAATAACTATTATCCTACTAATGATAAATCATGTGATATTCATAGTATGAATAATATTCTAGGAGGTAATCAATGTCCAATAGATTGTCAACTTATTGACAGTTTAACAACAGTTCATAATTCTATGACACACATGAATTCAGATATATTCGGTTTAAATTATGCAAACAATTTATTACACTTATATGGAGATGTTCAATCAAATTTTTTGTCAGATAATTATCAATCTGCAGTGTTGAACAGTCTTTCAACAATTCCATCATCTTTATCACCATTAAAGTTAACCCAACCATTAATAAAGGATCCTACTAATTGTATAAATGAAATGTGTACTATAAAATCGAAAAGACAGTCGTCTACAAATTCAATAATTCCAAAGAATTCTCTCAACAGCAATAATAATAATAGTAATAATAGTGTTAATATTAATAGTAAAAATCAAACAGTAATAACAGCTAATAACAATACATCAAATAGTTATGCTTGTAAATTATGCTCCAAAGTTTATTCACAAGCATCAGCATTAAAAATGCATGTAAGAACGCATACACTACCATGTCGATGTACACATTGTGGTAAATCATTTTCACGTAAATGGTTACTTAAAGGACATGAACGTACACATACAGGTGAAAGACCATATTCATGTAATATATGTGGACGTTCATTTGCTGATAGATCTAATCTACGTGCACATATGCAAACACATCAACGTGAAAAACGCTATTCATGTTCATATTGTCCACGGTCATTTTCTCGAATGGGTCTATTAAATAAGCATATATTACAGTGTAATCATCAAAATCATAATATTAATAATAATAATAAAAGTGATAATTACTGTTCACCAATAAATTTTTGTGATGTAAACCTACAACACAATCGATCATTAATGAGTACAATGCACAGTTTATAAGAAAGTCAAATTCTAGAGAATATCATGAAAAGAAATGTAACTTTGTAGATATTGAACTCCTGACAATAAGATTTTCGCCTATGTACATTTCGATATAATAATTGTCAATAATAATAATGATCTAGATTATTATTATTATTATGATTATCTCTCGTTTCGGCGTTCGTCTAATCTTCCCTCGAATTACCACCCTTCAGATACTCCTTCGTCTTTTTTGTTGTTTCATTATTTTCTTTCGCAAACAAACTACTAAAAAAAGAAAACAAGTGACCATAGTTACTTTTTATTTCTCCTGCTTTCGAATTATATGCAACCAAATTGAATTTTTCTGATGGTGTTATTCTCATATTTTTTAAAAACACAATATGCACAATATACGCTAATTGATAAGAATTGTCTTTTCAAAGAATGCAGACAAGAATTTATTGTCATTCTATTGGAAGAGTAGAAATTTTATTGATAGTAATGGAAGTGGCGAGAAAGAGTGCTTACAAAACATATCATCATTATTTTTTTTTTCCGTAAGTTCTAAGTGGAACATAGGGCGTCGACAGCATATCTTCATTACATTCCGGTTCTCTACAGTTGCCTTTATTTGGGTTCCCAGTTGTGCATAAGCTCTCATTTCTTCCTCACACGATCTCCTCCGTATCACAGTCGGACGACCAACTTGTCGTTTCCCATACGGATCCCACTCTAAGGCTTGTTGCGTGATACCCAAAAATATGGTGGAGATATGTGGATGACACTTTCACAATGCTAAAAACAGAACATATCTCTAGCTTCTTGACACACATAAACTCACTAGTAGAGGGAATAAAATTCACATTTGAAGCCGAAAATGAGCAAGGAGAATTAGCTATGTTAGACTGTAAAATAAAACGAATAGAAGAAGGCAAACTACACACTAGTGTTTATAGAAAACCAACGCATTCTAATAGATATTTAGACTTTAATTCATCTCATCCTTTAACTGTTAAGGCAGGCTTAGTTAAGTGTTTAACAAACCGAGCAATAGCACTCAGTAGCACAAAAAAGACCTAAATGATGAAATAAAACAGATCGAAGAGGCGTTGGTGTTAAATAACTATCCTCTAAAATTCATTAGGAAGATTGAAAAACGCCAAAAGAAAAATAAAAAGAATTGTGAAACTGGTAATAATAACATAAATAAGAGAGAATATAAATCATCTGCAGTTATACCATATGAAGAGGGGACATCTGAGACACTACGTAGGATTCCTAATAAAGCAGGAATTAGAGTGGCATTTAAACCTACAAACTCACTCAGGGACAAGCTCTGTAGGTTAAAGGACCCAGTGGACCCAATTAGACAAAATAATATAATTTACAAAATACCTTGCGATGACTATGAGTTCAACTACATAGGTCAAACTAGTAGGTCAGGGGTAGTCAGATTGTCAGGACATAAGAATTTAGCTAAGATAAGAATGGTTGACCCCGAGAAGATAAGTAATTTAGAAAAAAGCTCGGCAATTGCAACGCATGCATTAACACACAACCACACAATAGGGTGGGAGAGGGTTAAAATTCTAAAAAGTAATCTAGGTAGGTGGAGAGAGAGGTTGATTACTGAATCCTTGTTCATTGAATCTACACCCAACACATGCAATAGGAATGACTCATCACTCAAAGCCGAAATATGGAAAATAATACTACCAATCAAATCAAGTGAAAATCAAGTGAAAAACAATGGAACTATATAAATGAATTTAGGAAGTCGTGTGATTAACTTGATATGATTATGAGCAATAAATTGTGCTCGAAACGTCATCAGTAAATATTACTGTATAACACTGTGAGACTCTATCAAAATAAAATTTACCCATAATGGAATTACACTCTACCACAGTGCCCAAGTTTTATTCTTGTTGCGTGATGGTGCTCAACGGCCTCTTCAACATATGTTGGATGTTTATTGGCCAAAAGGTTCTTGGTTGGTTCGTTCCCAGAAGATCCTATTGATTGTCCTGGCTATCTGATCTTCAGTACGGAGTGAAAGCAGATGTTGATAAGTCTAAAGCAAATTCGAAATAATTTTCGTGACGTGCACGCAAAGTCTCCGGATCGTATAGAAGCGCTGACTAACTTGATATTAGTGGTGGAAATCCGATTCTTGTTGTTTATGCTGACTGAAGCAGATTTCCATACTGATTTTGGATTTATGAAAGTCTATCTTACCTTTCTGACCCTGATTTTGATATATTCATCCATGCCAACTGCCTGCAGTTGAAATGACACTGCCCAAATAAGTGAAAGAAATGACTTCAAATTTCTCCAGGTGATGGTTGCTGGTGCCTGTTGTTGTTGTTGGTTAGTTATCCTTATCGCCTCTTTCTTCTCTATGTTCAGTTAGGGTTCTATCTTCACTGTCTGTGTCTTCTTCCAACTTGCTGGATTTGGGCTTTAGATTTTTGAGTTTGTGTGACACTGGACATAAATCATCCGCAAAGCCCAAATCTTTGTTCCTGCCTACTGACTACCCTTAGCCTGTCTCATAATCAAATCCACCCCAATCAGGAGTATAATCGGTGATAATAGGCATCTTTGTCTAACTCCTGTCTCCACTTCAAAGGCATCGCTCAGTTTTCCATTGTGGACCACTTGATATGTGGCATTATCATATATCCGTTGAATGACAGTGATAGGGGTTTAAGATAGTGCACTCCCTGGTGCTTAGGCAGCTCCAAGATACTTTGCGGTCAAAGCAGTCGAAGGCGTTTTCAAAGTCGATGAAGTTGGGATAGAGATTTGACCGATCCAAGTGCCTAGATGGTGAGCCAGCTTGGCCTGGTAACCTGAAGGTCCCATGTTTGATCTCTTTCGGGATACTTAGTGTGCACCTCTGAAGAATCTCAAAAAAATAGGAAGAAACAGCTGTCCAGACTTCCGTGGTTTTCAGTGATCTCTAAGTGATGTTGAAGAAACCTAACAATTAAAATATGATAACTGTCAACAAATTTGGCTGCCATTAGATATATTTCTTATTGTTCCTTTGGGTTCCGAGTGGAGCACAGGGCTTCGACAGCACGTTTCCACTTTGTCCTTCTCTCTACGGTCCTCTTTAGCCGATCCTACGATTGTCCATAGTCTGTGTTCTCCTCCTAACACGATCTCCTCTATGTCATCCTCGGACACACTGCCCACTCGTTGCTTCCTATTCGGGTTTCACTCGAGCAATGACCTGGCGAACGATGTCATTCGGTGGTCTCCTCAGCGTGTTCCTCTGAAAAATGTTCCAAATATTCGTTGAAGTATTGTAATGAAATATCATTTCTCCTACAATATCCTCAAAAATAAGTAGATCCAAATGTAATGGGTTAAGGTGCTTTGGAAATTTAAGTAACGTCGAGATTCGAAGCAGTCCAGTACGTAAACAACTGAGCTACATCATCTAGATGCTAGACTATAAATTAAATTCTCTATAGTTGGTTTGTAGGGATTAAATTTGTTTTTTACGAGTTGATCATGGATTGCTATTAGTTATAGAACCCTTAAAAAACTATCACGGAATACTGGACAGTTGTTTTTGTGGTCCTAGTTTGGGAATCATCATCAGTACGCACCCACTGAGGTTTGAAACCAGGACCTTCCGGTTACAAGGCTAAATCACAAATTGGTAGAAGTTAGAATCCACGGGTTGGCCATTGAGTCAGGTCGGGTCGGGTCGGGTCCCAGTGGCTCAATTATATGCGAGCTTGCCTTGTAACCGGGAGGTCCTGGATTCGAGCCCCCTGTGGTGGGTGCGTACTGCCAATGATTCCCAAATTGGGACCACAGAAACAGCTGTCCAGCACTTCCTGATAGTTTCCAATGGTTCTCTAAGTGATATCGATCCGTGATGAACTCGTATAAATGAAATGCTTTAATGAAATTGGTGGCAAGTAGTGGGAGGACTCGTCTACTCATTGTATTCACATCACACTTAGTAATGTTGCTTCCATTAAGACTTGATTGTAACATCTATTGTATCAAGTATTAAGGCGTTATTATGGCGTTTGAATATTTATCACTCTGGAATGTAAACATATCCAGCTAATAAGTTCTGAAGAGGACACAGTGTGTGCCTAGATTTCTCTACAAGCCTTACAAAGAATACATTTGTAATGATCATCGCCTTCACCCACCCACCCACCTCCATCTTCCTAATGCGAACAGTTTATCATAATTTTGTTATTGCAGCAAAAGAATCATCTGCAAAATTAAAATCCAGTTAAGTTTTATTGACATAAGAAATCCATATTCTCTACTCTAAGATATAAACTTATTCCAAAGTAGAGAAAAACAAACGCTTGTTAGCTTTCTAATATACTCCTATCAATTTCCTATTGTTCACAATATCTGACATGAGAACACATAAACAACCTGTAAATGTTAAATAAAACTTGTCTATCACATATAATGAATCAGGCAAATTGTTCTGATAGCACCTGTATAAAGTTAACTTTCACGATTACTCTTCTTCGTCTTCTTCTTCTTCTATTTCTTTCCTTCTTTCTCTTCCTTTTCCTACTGCTATCACTTCTACTCTCAGCAATAAACGATAAGAATATTTCTAGAGCATGTGAACCCTTCTGGCAGAGAATAAGATTGCGTGTATAATCAATCATATAAGCTGTTTATCATATTACTATTATTATTATTATAACTGCCAATGTGAATAACAAACAGTAGAATTATTGTTGTCATTCATCTCGCTAAATTTCTCTTCAACAAGCTTATCATCTTCTTCATTCTCTCAGCTCTCATAACTTGCATGTCTTCTATTGGCATAAATATGGAATGGGGGGGGCGAGGATAAGGCGGCAGCAGTAGAGGAGGAGGAGAAGAAATAAATAAACCACAAGAATAAATCCAACATCCACTTGTGTTTCTTTCTTTTCATGTAAAATGTCTCTGTGCATGTGTTTCTATGTGATTGACTGTAACCACAATAGTAGTGGAGAAATATTTTTTTAGCGCCATGTAGGGATATTTTT